AATCCCAAGGCAGACTTTATTATTTGGCAGTGYCTTTGGGCTTCAGTAAGAACCTGGGCCTCCTGGTGCCATGTGTGATACAGAGGGCTCTCAGGTAAGGTCAGAAGGTATTGATTCAAGAGTACCTGAAGACCACAATTATGTTTCTTGGCCCCAWGCAGCCTGCAGCTGCTAGACAAGGCAGAGAGGAGAATTGGTTGCCTTTGAGCTTTTTTTAACCTGGACAAAAGGTTTGCCTTTTAGGTGAAATTCTGAGCAGCAGTTTGCTGAGCACACTGCAATGGTCACTTTACCGAAGGCATCCTTGTCTATGCAAGTGGTTGAAGGCAGGYTGGCATTTGTGGTTCTTCCTATGCACATCGTTTTAGCTGCAGGCAAAAGGCAGAAAGACAGCTGCTTAGACCTTGCGTGCTGCTCTTCCTGCTGAGTGCCATATTGCTCGGCTGCACCTCACTGTGCCTGTGCTCCCAGTGCTAGGGGATTTGAACATCTGTGCCCTGCACCGAGGAGCCTCCTGGTTTCCATCTGGCTGTGTGTGTGCACTGCTGCTGAGGTTAAACACACTGCTCAGACCTTTGTTCYGTGTGTCTGGTTGCTGCATGCAGGATGAGGAAGGAGCCGTGCTGACACTCCTGGTCCTGCCTCTTTATGGGGATGTGTGCTGTAGGTGGGAAAGACGAAGTTTTAGAAAGAGCTTGCACCCAGACTGGGTACCCTTAGCATGACAGGCCAGAAGCAAGCCAGGGGAATCACAAGCTCACCCTTGTGAGCTGAATGTCAGTCTGGCGCAGGTCTGGCATTTCACCTGCACATAGGACTGTGCCTGTGCCTGCAGGGCACTGGTGCTGTTGGCAGAGTCCGGGGGCCTTCAGTGTCACCTGCCTTCAGTGTCACCTGCCTTCAGTGTCACCTGGTGTGGAGCAGCCTGCATTTCCCCACGTCTGGAGTACTGAGGTCAGCGAGAGGGGCTGGAGCCTTCTGCCTGCCCTGGTATTGTGCAAGGGAAGCCGACCCCAGGCCTGACACAGCTCCCTGCAGTCGATAGCAGAGCAAGGCTGGAGGAGAAGGGATTAGAGGGAGGGYATGTTTTACAATAATCCTGCAACGTGTGCTGCATTCCAGGCTAGGAGGAGCTGGGAGTTGAAGGCACAATGCGTGAAAGATGGCCTTTCCCAGAGTCCCATGGGCAAGGCAAGGGACAGAACATTCCCTGCATCCCAGCCCTTCATCTGGAGCTGTACTTGAGTACCAGCACAGCTGCCTAGTGCCTGGGAAAGGAGCTGGTTTTCTCTGCATTTGAAATACAGGAGCTTCATGTGGGATCATGAAAATAGACTTGTGCAGTTCTCCAGGAAGACATGATGGGCTATCAGATTTTYGAGCCTTGGGGATTAAAGCATTAACTGGTTTGGTCCTCATTGTCCTACCAAGCCCRTATAGCTACAAAAGTGAGAGTGACTGCTTGCCATCACCACCAGCAACAGAAGGCTGGTTTATGGTGGCCATTGGCTTACTTACCTGTAAGTGGGAAGAACAGAATTTTGTTCTGGTTTGTTTTGCTGTTTGAGTTTTTGTTGGTTTGGGGGGTGGGGGGGTGTTCCCCTTTTCTATTTTAATGAGGTGTTCCAGTTGCCCTATGCTGTGTGTGATGCACTGTCCTACTGAAAGGGTTGGGGCTTTGCTACTGGTGTCCTGGCTGGGAAAGTGTGGGTGTGCAGCCTCTGTCCCACTGCACAGAGAAATACCAGGGCTTGGCTTTGGCTTCTCATGGGCTCAGTATAAAGTGGCCAGTGATGGTGAGCAGGGATATGGGAGATACAGTAGTGGAATTTGTATATTAATAACTGGGAGTACTTCACACTCATTAAATTAATTAAATCCCTCAGAACCCCAAGGCTACTAAGCAAGTTGATTTCAGAATTAGGATTAAAAGTCTCCTGTCACACTTCCCCCATTCTGTCATAGCACTTTGGCTCCATCCTGGCTTTTGCTCTTTCCACTTGCAGGTTYCCTTGCTTGAACTCTTTGCCTGCAGCCCAAGGATTGGATCTCTCAAAGTGGCTTTCTAAGAACTGGTTGAAAAGTCTACAGATATGGTCTGCTCTTGTTTAGAAAACAACCCATCTTTTGCCCTTGTCTGGGCATAAACTYCTGTTTTGTGGCCTGCTGGGGAGGGCAGCTCTCATCACTCCAAAGCATGAACCCAGACAGGGTCTGTCTCACAGTGACTGGTTTTCCCWGTTGTCTGGGCACTGTCTCCTACAGACCAGGACCATCTTCTCCTTGGGTGCTCTGACATGAATGTTGCTGCCATCTTTATAGGGCATGAAAGCTCCTGAGCAAATGGCCATTCCCAAACTTGCTCAGTACCCACCTCAGCAGTCCCTTCTGGGTGTCAGTAGGTATGGGGGGGGCAAGACTCTTTTATTTACTGACAACATGCATCTTTCCTTCCTTTTGTTCACTGTTGTGTTGCAAAAGCTCTAATCGTGTTGTTTGATGTTTTCCTGTACATCCTGTCCTCAGGTGAATGTGCAGGTCTCACTCATGGCTGATGGATCAGCTGCACCCACCTCACCTTTCTTTGAGTCAGGACACTGGCATTTCAACACAGCACTCAAAATACCTTCAAACCAATGACTTCCATTAAGCCATGCAGGATGGAGTGTAGCTGAGCTGTTGTCTCTCCTGCAAGCAGTGGTTGACATTCCCAGTGGGTTTTAGTGGTGTGGAGATGAAAGCTCAGTGTGCTGTTCTGCTGGTGTTCCTCCTGCTTGCATACTGCAGGTGCCTTTTTAAACAAACTGGATATTCATGATTTTGTGCCTGCTTCAGGAAAGCCTGTTCTCTGTGCTCTCCCAGTGTGGTAAACTCTGTCAGCCTAGCCCTGACTGGTGCTGTTAATATTTTAGAGATTGTGTAGGATCTCCACCTTGGCTGTGCTCCTCATTTGGGAAGAGCTGTCCTGCATGGACACCTGACAGTGTATTTCGGAGGAGGCRGGTCTACCAGGACTAAGGGTAGCACAAAATTTTCAAAGAGCTRATTGCTAGTCTCCAGCAGGTCCAGRCTRGGCCTTTGTTTCTGTAGGTGAGGGTCTTTTGGCCTCCCTGGGACATTTCATTCTGTTCTTGCCTTTGGCACCRGCTGTATTTGGCCACTGCAGTGGAGGGGTGTCCCCATACCTCTGCTCAGTCCTTCCCAGTACTGGAGCTGGCCTTGGCAGAGCTGCTAAGCCAGAAACAGCTCTGAGTCTCTCCTGTGCTTTGGGCCTCCCTTTGCCATTGTACCATGTATGTTTTGACCACGTGGAGCTGGTTCTGCTGCACCATTCCTTCCCTGTGGGGACAGTTGGTGCCCATCAGGAGGTGACTGATCCTCTACTGGTGCTCTGCCACACGCAGTTTCCAGCTACCTCCCACATGGACCTGTCTGCTCTCAGCAGTGGGGCTGCATGGTCATTCCTCTTGGTGCAGGCGAGTTCTAGTGATACATTCCTTGCTCAGCTTTCCCCTGGGGCCTATCTAAATCCAGCTATGAGAATGGRGCTGACATGCTGTGGGGATAGGGGCTCCAATAGATCCAGGAGACAGTGAAGMCATGTGACTGAATACCAGACTGTGTTTGCTCTGCCTAATTATCAAAAGTATGAGTTTGTTCTGCTAGGTGCACATTATGCCTTTATTGTGGTGTAATTATGCCAGCTGCCTATGTTTAGTGTCATAAAAAGGAATAAAATGCCCATTACCCGCCTAAAGAATTCTTCTTGTGGGTTTTTTTTATTTTTATTGCTTTGGAGTACACAGTGGGGATATCTTTGATCGGCAATTCTCCATGCAAAATAGCTAGTGAAATACGGTGCCTTTCGGAGAGCTCCTCCAGCCAGCAGCCTGCAAAAGCAGCTGGCCCACGAGCCTCACCTGGCGCTGCCTCTGCTGCTCTCTGCCAGCCCGATCTGCTGGTCAAGATGGTGAAGCCRTCACAGTGCCTTCCTCTGCAGGAGCTCGACTGCTTTCCAGCAGCATTCCCTGCTGCATTCCAGGTCCCAAAGCTCCCTCCTGCCGACACAGCACCCGAGAGGTGCAGGATGCTATCCACACCTGGGAAAAGATGCAGCCTCTCTGCCTGCTGACCTGCTCAGGGAGACACATTGGCACCTGGGTCTGGCCGAGATGTTTTCTGGGCAGAATTCTGTRTTAAGGAATCCTGTGCCACGGGGAAGCACTTGAGGTTGTCAAGGGCACACCCCAGAGAGATGTGGGGTGRGAGCCACTCCTTTGCCCTGCCTCGTCTGGAAACACAAGCAAAGTGTTATGAACCTGCCAACAGCCTGGTGGTACTCTCATAAGAGCAGGGATAGTGAACCTCATCCTCCAACTGGCCCACAGCCCCTGCAATTGGGTTTTGGCTGCTTTGAGGTTTCYTGTGGTGTCTAAGTATCCGAGGCCACGTTTCAGTGGTGTTGAGAGATGCCTCRAAGGAGCCATGTCCTCCAAGAGCTGAGGTTCTGTGCAAACATCAATTACTGAAGCACATACCCTGCCAGAGAACAGCAGCAAGGGGCTTGCTTTGTGTGTGTAAATCCTAGGGGCATTTTGGTGATATTAAGTAGTTTCTGACGGGAAAAAAAAAAAAAAAA